AAAGCGGGAGGGAGTGTCACCTGCGCACGCGTCAGAAAGCCATAGCGTGTCAATGTTTACAAACAAGCGTCTACCCATGAGCCTTTGCGTTTTTAGCGCGTGTTGTTATCGTCGTTTGGGACTCAATTCCCACGCATGCGCAGGTGACGACCCTCCCGCTTTAAGTAGTAGCGACAAAATTATTTTTCTTTTCTTCGTACATTTGCGCTAGATTTGTCTACGGTGATATTTCTCCATATTTTTCTTCTCTGTATCAAATAATCATGTTTTTCTGCAAATATATTTTGTCGCTGTTATTTTTTCGTAAATAATAACTCTGTGCAGATTTGTTTCTCTTCCACGTGACCCCTTTGAGATTCTACTATCGGCACAACAAAGACATTCTCTTCATCTTTAAAAATAATCATAAATTTCACGTTTCAAACTGAGAATAAAGATGGTAGATTGAATAACATTGGAACTTTTCAACATTATTGCGCTTTGTGCATGTCAATAAGCTGGTTTTATTCAACTGCCATTGCAATTCATAAACATTCATAAAGATGAAGTGAATAAATTTATTGTACCGAGAGTAGAGTAGTGGTCAATCCTTACGATACAACGCCATTTAACTTTGTAGTTACAACACTATCCACAATATTACAGAAAAAGATATGCACAAACTGTATTGTACATATACATGTAGCTTCAATACTGGATGCTGGCACTTTCTGGCATAGTTGGATTTCCCGACGTGAACTTCATAGCGCCCTCTATGGTAGCTTCTTGTTGATACCAAAATAAAAGTTTCGCCGCTACGTGTGGCGTGTGCATGCGAAAGTAAATATTCGTAGCAAAACGTATTCCAGCGACAACAACACTGCTGGCGTGGCACAGATTTGGTGACAGCTTTCAGTGCATTTCATCGGGACACCTGATTTGGCATTACGCACAGTTTCTTAAGTATTGGAGCTTGATTCCAGTGTTTTATTATGAACGCTAGCTCGTCAGTATTTTGATCGCAACAGTCTTCACCGTGTTTTGCAAACAAACATGTCGACAACGCCGACCAGTCCGCAGGGTGTACCGTACGAAGAACTTCCACATTTTGTGAATGCAGACGGGTTACATATCTATACCAAATGCTGGCAACCTACCTGATAACTCCACGCCAAGGTAATGTAAATATCATGATGATTTCACTGATCTAGGTCGATCGTTTATTACGGTTTAAATCGCCTCGCGATCGTGTAGTGGACGATCGCCGATCCGTACGTACAATGTGCCTCTATAAATCACGAAATGTAGTTGTTATCTCAATGTCTAGTCTGTTTAAGTAGGTCAGAGTTGAGATAATTTACACTTTGCTGGTCACTGCTTACACCCGGGTCTTAAATATCGTATGAAACAGTGTACAACAGTGACGATGGCCGGCATTAGACACACTCTGTATACAGACCGGGCAACACAGCTATTTTATGCTTTGCGAATTCTTGTAGTTTTATTGCCGGAGTTTATGTTGATTCAGCCACTCAAAGTATGCAACACGAACCTGTTCTGTACGTATTAGATTAATTGGCTGTTTATATCGTCTGTTTAATTATTTTATGGGTATACCGGTAATAACTTTTCGATCAGTTTACGTATAAAGTTATTGGTTGATGTTAATTTCCCACAGTCACTTGTAACGAAAAATACACTGGCAGTATATATGTATGGGCCGGGCCGCCCATAATGCCCTAGTTTTATTTTTGTGAGTATGACCATGACTGTGATACTACAATGTTTTTGTAGGGGGGGGGGTAGTGATGGTTCATTTGGTGACAACATGTATTAATAAAATACAGATTTTTAGAAAAATGAAAAATCAGAAAATGCTCGTTATGTTTAAGCGTCTTTATGCATTTGATGTGTTCAGTTCAGATAGAACTTCCAAACCAACAATGCTAGCTTCTATTTGTATGCGTTTTTGTGTGAACTAATTTTGTGAAAAAAAAATATACCACTTTTTTGCCACGAATATATTCACATGTACCGGTAGATCCCTTGACTAGCTAGGTGCCCCCCCCCCTCCTTGGGGTTCTTAGGGTGGTAGCTTCCCTGAGTATACCCACTGTTTTATTTCATTAGAACGTTAACCACTGATTTGCCAAGAAATGTGTTTGTGAATATTGCCCAATAAATTGACGCTGGTTCTTTGCTTACTAAAACTATTCTGAAAAACCTCCTTCCTTTGACCTGGATTGTCCAATCTTTTACTAAAAAAACATCAATCAATCAGTCTGTCATTCTGGTAAGAATATATTTTATTTTTATTCATTCAGTTTTCATAATTGCTGTGATCATTTGAACCCCCCCCCCCTTCAAAAAAAGAAAGTAATCCTGACAATAATTATATTAAATCCATAGTTTGTATTGTAAAGCCACATGGTGCAACATGATAAATTACTTGTATAGTAATATATTATTAGGAATGCATTGTTAAAACTATGAAGTGTTATCACAATTTTATTACAATCAATAACATGACAATATGAAATATCAATCAATGCAGTAAACAATACACTGCTTTTTCTTCAATTCTTATGCTTTTCCTGATTTATTGACTCGTGTTGAAATGCGAAAAACTAGAAAAATTTTAATACTGTGAAATACTTTATTTTCGTTGGAATTAATTTTCGCCAAAAAGGCTTTTTGGGCGTTTTGCTTGGAATTTATTTTCACTGATTTTTGATGAGTTGAATGTGAAATATAGAAAAAAAAAGTATATTCGCTGGATTTTATTTTCACGAAATCATCCTTTCAGCGAAAATAGCGAAAATAAATTCCAAGCGAAAATAAAGTATTCTACAGTAAGCTGTGTATGAACAAAATTACTACCTGTAATAACTATATTAGCAAATTTGACTAATAGCAAAAAATTTTTATTTGATTTGGTGTACAGTGCCTTATGTTTAATCCTGCATGGAGTTGGTGAACATTGTGAACGATATGACACTGTAGCCGCACCGCTCACTGGCAGTGGCATTATGGTCTTTGCCCATGATCACGGTAAGTGTGGATCATTTGATCGCATTATAGGTTTCAAACCACCATTTCAACAGGTGATATTAATTAAAAAGGTGTTGTTTGTTGGTACAGGGTGTGTTTAAATGAGTTTGAATTTTGTTTGACCCCCCATCGCTGTATGCTTTTACGCATGGTATGGCACATATATCAAACACATTCAGTCGTGATGACCTTTTAATATAGTTCGACCCCTTAAATCGCAAAATTAGCGTTGCCATTTTTTCCAAAAAAAAAAAATTATCAAGAAGTGCAGGCAATGGAGGACATCAATTTTGTTAAAAAAAATTGAAAAAATTTTGAAATGTTACACAAAACTCTTGACTGGACAATTATACCAACAATTGAATTTGATTCACAACTACCACATTATATGTGATATTTAAATTGTATTTTAGTATTCTCCTTCAACTAAATCTACTTGTACTGGAAACATTCACGATGGATGTATCAATCATTTATCATTTCATGTCATTTTAATAATATATTCACTTCCATTTAGTTGGCCATGGTCAAAGTGAAGGTATCCGTGTAGATATAAAAGATTTTAATATTTACGTGAGAGACACGATACAACATGTGGACAGAATAACAGAGCATTATCCAAATCTACCAGTCTTCCTCATTGGACATTCCATGGTACGTTGTTCACATTCATTGGTATTTCCTTCATATCATTGATATATGTATATACACGATCAAATAAAAAATACATTATTTAGTCATTTGCCCATTTGTATTTTTTTCTTCCAATGACACTTTTTTACTTTATTCATTAAAGACATAATGTTACAAAAGATTTCATAACTAAAGAACACAATTACAATACTAAAATATGTACAGTTTCATTGATAGAGACAAAATATTTTCGCATTTTATTTTGGAGCATTTATAAAAAACCATTAATTCTAGTACTGATTTTTAATATTTAATAGTAATGGCAACATTTTTACAACGAATGGTTTATAACTGATATTTTCTATCAACAGAAAGAATAGTTTGGAAAAATATTGTTTATTCAGTAAATATTATTTTTTTTTAGATATATAAATATATCATGGCTTGTAAAATGTTTGTTTCTTTGTAAATCACTTTAAGTGGTGCTTTTCTGATCTTCTATCATATGAGAAAGAAAAATATCAGCAAAAAATCACAAATTGAATTTTTTGAACATGGAAAACTAGCATATTTGCTTTATTAGGTATGTAAATGATTATATATTAAATTATATTTCAATTATCTAGAATACAATAAATACAGTTGTTCGTTTAGATGTGCTTCTGAATGGAGATGCGCATCTAATAGAGCTAACACCACAATAATCAATCTAATATACCTCATTGTCAAGTGCACACAAAAAAGCAAAATGTGATTGAAGAAAGCGATTGAAAAATGTGAATCTATGATGGGTTTCATTTCATTGGTGCATTGTACTGTGAAACCACTTGAAGTTAATGCGTGTCAAAGTGAATTTCACTACAGCGTACTTGATAATATTACTCTTTAGCAAATTAAAAAAAGAAATGATATTGTCTAGATATTTGAGTGACAAGGGAAATGGCTAAATCACACGTTAGCTCATAAAACACTTTGCCATTTCATTTACACCAATAATCCCAGGTGTTATTATTATACAACTTAAACCGTACCAGTTATAACCGGTTTAGCACGCGACCATTTCATAACGTAGTAAACTCACTTCAGTGTACTTGAAAATATTACTTTTTAGTTAAATTAAAAAGAAACTACAAATTGCAATAAATGAAATGATCATTAATTAATATTGTCTAGATATTTGAGTGACAAGGAAAATGGCTAAATCACAC